ATACTCCGTCGTGAGTACAGGATGCCTCATGTGCAAAAACCTATGGCCTACACGGCGACTTCGTCTTCAAAGAGGACATTGCAGACTCCTGAGCGGGAAATCGGATCAAAAGTCAAGGACGATACAGAATCAGCTTCCACAAGGTGATGATTGAGTTGCAGGACACGAAATCAGTTCGGGGCCAGATTTCGACCTTCTACGCTTGTAGGAAACTCTACTTGCAGCAAACAAGTGCGGTCTTCCCAGCTCCTTTGGCCCCTCAAATGACTGATTAGTGGTTACTGCCTATGTCAAAAGGTTTCAAGTTCGAACTTTCATGAAGCAATTGTTAAATGTTCTCATAATTCCGAATCAGTATTCAAACGAGGGTCACACGACGTACACGTTTAGTTCCTACCCCAAGCGCTCTTGTGCAAACGTCAGCCACATATGGACAGCAAAATGAATGTAGGTAGCACGGTTCAGCTAGGACCGGGACTGGCTGTCTCTTTTGTACAAAACTATGATTTCCCGGCACTTCAAACCCACGCTATACAAAACGAGAGCCCTAACCCCTACCCTTTACTATCTTACACATGCAGTTGCACAGAGCCAGCTGCGCTGCAGCAAGTGGCTCCGTTTTGCGTCCCTCATTTGACGACGAAGTCGACGTGCTCATCGCCCCCCTCCGCCTTGTACTTGGCATGCAGGTCCTTCATCGCGGCTATGAACTCGCTCTGCTTTGCAACCACCACGTCGTCCGGAATCGGCTCGGCGCTCTGCTCCACCGCAATGGGCCGGCCAACGGCCACCAGCATAGGCTTGGGGAGGGGCAGCGGAGACCTGAGACAACACACGAACTTTGCAAGTTGAAATCGCTAGTCAACAGATAATACACTACGATATGGGGGCTTTGGTAGACAAGGAAGCCTTATTCTGGTCGCAAAAAAACAGGTTTCATGAAGCAAAAAGGCACTGCGGATTGTCGTGAGAAGGCAGGTGAGAAATGGACTCAGCCTGTTGGGAGCAGCTGCTCGTTTACAGCGTGCTCACCCGGCTATCCCCCAGAAGACGATTGGCGAGAACTTGAGCATTTTTGACAGCTGCTCGTACCACTGCCCCTGCGGCCGCCACCAGTGGTATGTCTCACGCTGCATCAGAGCGCCAACGTCATCTCGAGAGCCTATCTGCTGAACACACAAGGGACGCCAATCGCAAACATCTTCAGATCATGCGCAACAATTTGGAGAGGTACCAAAGCTGAAGTCAGCAGTCGAGAGTGCGAAAAAGGCCAAGCGGGCAGCCCAGGAAGGGGCGCAAAATGTTTTCCTCGGCCAGACGGGGCCAGGACACCCTCACCTGTCCGAATATGAAGACGGGGACCAGGGGCGCGCCTGCGGCGATGGCCATGCGGATGAATCCTCGCCGCTTGTTCAGGAACACCACCTGGATCGTCAACGCGGCGGACGTCTGTCAAACAGGATTAGAGCCTGGCACGATAGGCCCCCACAACGTCGTTCAAAAAAATCAATTCCAGAACAACCTGCTCAAATGTTCAGATAAAGCACCTAGCCGTTTGTTAAAGTGAGCAACAGCTCGCCAGAGCACCTGCAGATTTTCTTGCTCCGCTTACCTCCTTATCCCTCTCCATGTAGAGGCACTCGGAGACGCCCCCCGGCACCAGCACGCAGGTAGTCCCCTGGTCGAGCAGCCGCTTGAACTCGCGGCGGCCCACGGGCGCCATGCCCATCCTGCGAAACCCTTTTTTCTAGCGCGGGAGTCGGAGGCAGCTTCTGAATGTTTGACGGCCTGGACTGGCACTCATTTGTTCGTTATCGAACGGGATACCTCTGAGTGAGATGTGGAACTGTCAACGGCACACAGTGGAGGCCGGAGCATAGATGGGAGATCAGGATATGACCGTTCAAATCCTACCGCCACTGGCGATTTCATGGGAGACAGCTTCCAGCACTCACCAGCTCCAAATGTGGCGCACAAAGGGGACCGCATACACCTGCATGGATTCACGACGAAACTTCAGAACCCCGATCCTTACCACCTCGAACCCAGTTTGCTGAACCACTGAATGAACATGGACAGACTTTCAAACGATGAAACCAATCAGGGACTGTTCGTCAAGAGGGCCAACAAAAGGAGAAGGGGGTTGGGCTTACCGCGCTGCTGGCGAGCACGCGCTTGTCCTGGAAGGGCATCACGTCCAGCACGCTGGCAAACTCCATGATGCCCAGGGGAAGCACACTGCGTGACCCAAGACAGGGAAAGTAAGCGGGAGATAAGAAGAAAGTCGGGGCCTGGGCAAGCCAAAATTTCACAAGCAATGCAATTTTTCAGGCCGCGAACTGTTCTAGATGACGGTACCTATTCAGTGCAGATTCGTGATGGCCAGGTGGACTAAAATTTCAAGCAGCTATCACAGGCGTCCATCTGACTGTCAATATCCTTCGAAAAATCACAGAAGTGATTCGACGATCTCTCCTACAAGAGTTTTGATTGTAACAGAAACGGATGAATTGAGATGACGAAGCTGCCAAAGCTGTTGACTTTCAGACTAGTGATACTTTTCATGAGTCCCGGCCTCAAGTTGAAAAGACTCCATGACTCGGTGGCCACGCTCACCTGTGGGGCTCCACAGCCACCACTGCATGCAGGAGTGCAAAAATAATTCAAAGTTTGTAAGGTTGCAGACAAGGATATGATGCAGCCCTTGAGCCCAGCAAAACTACTTGACAAGCAGGACTCAAGTCTATTGAATGTGGCGCCAAAAGGAGGTAAAATAGAGTGGGTAGGACAAAGACAACTGACCATAGGACCTCTTTGGGGTGAACGCGTCCTTGTCCTCAAAGACCACCCGCATTGGGAAGTGCATTGGCGCATATGTACATATCCACCTGCGAACAGCGGGTGAGTCAGGGAAGGGGCCAGCCGGAGGAAATTCGGTTGGTGTGCACTACAGTCAGATGATGAAACATAGCGTCAACATTTCATAATGCACCTTTCAGAGTATCTGCTTCTCAACGTGCTTCTCAATGCGGGCTTCTTAGAAAATCCTCCTACTGTCCATCGATCCACATAATCAAGCAGGTTTCACCAGGTTAAGAATTGGCTCTGCATTTGAACTCACTTGGCTAGTTTCTTCCCCCAGTCAGATTCTTCATTGATGGGCAAAAATGCCATGGTCATCTGGAGTAGCAGTAAGCTGCACAGTGGTGTCAAAGCAAAGACATCATGCTGGGATGAACATCCTGCTCAAGAAGACAAGAGCTTCAAGCAGCAGCCAAACGACGACCCAGGTGTTGCAAACAGTCTTTAGTAGCCAAGTAGTGGGGCATCATGTGGGGCAAGCAAATTCTTGATCCCATCACTCAACGTTCAAGCATCCCCTGGTCAGGAAGTGCCCCTTTGAGCACTTGCCCACCAATCTCCCTTTGCACTCACCACAGGCCCCATTGACTGCGCAAGTTGAACAGGGCCACGATTGTAATGAGGAGGTTCGCATGAAAGCCCCCCATCTGTCAGCAAGCTGAAGTTTGTGAGGATTGGAATTGATGACACAGCATTACGACGTTACGCACTACAAAACCAGGCCACTCGGTTGATGCTTTGGAAAGCGTGAAGACAGAATCGCAGACAAAATTTAGTTGTAAGCACGGAAAGACTCTTGTTCTGTGAGTACACATTACAGAAACACAAGGTAGCAACGCCCTTAAGTACAGGCGTCTATTCATGTCTTACCCAGAGTGCAAGTGCAATGAATATCTTGAGCCGCGTCCAGCCCTCAGCTGCCCACATGAGCAGAAAGTGCTGCGCATGCCGCACTTGCACGGGCGGGCCCGCCGATGCCTGACCTCCCGCAAGATGCACAACCTGCGTGGTCATTGCGGACCACTAATAGCTACCACTACTTTTCTGTGGACAATGCATACAGATGGAACAAGCGGTGCTCTCACGTCAGGAGGGGACGCTCCAAAACGGCACCGACCAACGCAATTTCAACAGGGAGTGGACGTGACAGGTCCGGTCACGTTCCAAAGCGCCTCGCACGTTGAAACTCGTGGCCCTCACTGCTTAGCACCATGCCAACCCATGCACCTGTCTGGCATAAACTTCTTGTCCCCTAA